GGGGGGGGGGTGATAACTGCTTGAACACCAAAGTCCGTTAAGAAGTCCAGTTAGCTTCAACATAATCTCTGATCTGATTATGAATGAATGAGCTCTGAAACAGGATAAAAAAATAATATTCACATCTTGAATGCTTGTTGGATTTAGGAAGCTGTTTCGTCATACTGGAGTACAGCAGTAGTAAATAACATGTTTGTGACCTTTGACCCCCCTGTGCAGAACTGCCTGGTGCGTTGGGAGGGTGGCAGGTGTTCGGCTGTAGTGGGAGACTTTGGCCTTGCAGAGAAGATCCCAGATTACAGGTCGGTCCATAAAAATCTCTCAACATTGTGTGATTAGATAAAGTCCTGCTCAGTAAATCACATTCCTTCACTTCTCTCTTTGTCTTGTTATCACTCATGCCATATGTGACTGTGTGCTCAGGAACATTTCACCCAACTTCTTCTTTTTTCTTTTTTTCTTCTTTTTCCTACCGGAGACCAAATGAGACTGTTGGCTCACACCAAAACATGCTGTTTTTTTYCCCAAAGTATGCAGGCACACGTCGCCTCCTCTACAAATATTGCGGTTAACCCCGCTTTGCTCTCCGTAGAATAATTAATAATCCTGTCGGAGCGCAGTTTCAAATGCAGCGAGAGCGGTCAGATTAAATGTTGACAGCACCCCTGAGCTCTTATGACCTCAACAAGCTCCCAGCCCTGCTGCTGCCACCGCGCTCTCGGTTCCCCGTTACGCGCAACTGTGTTTATCCACGTCTGTGTGGCGTTTTTAATTTATAGCTGCCTCTGCTGCGTATGAATGGAAAGACTAGTTGGACTTYCTGTAGCTTTTCCTCCAGTGACTTCATGTTTCCAGAAATGGTTGATGAGCAAATTCTTTAACCGGACTAATAAAAATACTACCATGTGGGAAAATGTGCTCTGGTGTTACTGAGGCTAAATCAAAGTGTGTATTCAGTAACTTAAAGCTTCCCTGCATCATTTTTCAGTTGCGTTGTAGAAAAGTTTCATAAATTGTGGGGCAAACATTTTATTTTTACACAATACAACAGAAATGTGTTTTTCTTTTTCTATTGTGCGTTACTTTGAAGTGTTCCTGACCATCAATTAATTTACCTTTTTATCAATTAATTAATTTACCTTATTTCCCTCTGGGATCAATAAAGTGTTTTTGAATTGGATTGAATTGAATAGAATTCAATTGAATTAAGCACATATTTGCGTTCTTTACTTTTTGACAAATGCTAAAAGCTAGCTGGACAGCAGCCTAGCATAAAGAGAGGAAAATGGCGGGAAGGTCTTTAGCCTTATCGTTTTTTTATTTTCTTTGCTCCAAAACTCAAAAAGCAAATTACCCATCGCTCCTTATTAAATTTTTATAAAGATAAAACGTAAAGAAAGATCTAAAGTATGAAAAGGAGTGCTAATTTCTCTGCACGTTACATTAATTTGTCTTCTTTCTGAGCTAATTGCTACCTAGCTTTAGCATCAGACTTTTCTCAGCACTCCACTGCTAAATGTTTCTAATAAAAACAAGAATAGTTCAGTTAAGGCACAAATAATCAGGGGAGCTGAAAGTTTCCAACAATTCTTTCCTTCACTTCTTTCTTCCCATTYATCTTCTGAGCTAAGATAATTGCTACCTAGCTTTAGCATCACACTTTAAGGATTCCTTTTTCTTTGTTCGCTAGCCCAGCGCTCCAGTGCTAAATGTTAGAATAATTTAAATAAGGTACTGTATTTTTCGGACTATAAGCCACACCCCCAACATAAAAAAAAAAAACAGTACACCCAAATTTGCCGTGAAAAAAGTGAATTCAACATCAAAACATAAAAAGYAAACCTTTAGGAATTAAAGTTCGGAGGAATACGGTTCATTTAACTGACCTTATTTTGGTAGTTTTCTTTAACAGTTTCTGGTTCAACAAAACGTCTCGTTCATCTTCCTCCGGCACACTGAAACCATCGAAGTCCTCCTCTTTAGTGTCGGAGTTAAACAAGCTGAGAAAAGCTGYGTCACACAGCAGTATCTGTTCAGTGTTGCTTTCTGTGTCGCTGTCCTCCCGGGGTAATGCTGGCTCTGAAGCTGTGCTGGGAAAGCCCTCCCACTCCAGCATACATCACTGCCAACATGCTTTCAAATAACCGTTGGATTTAACGTAAACAGCCGTATAACACAAAACTGACAGTGACGTAAATGTTTGTGAAGAAGCTTTCATGTGAACTGTTGTAAATATTTTAGATTAGATCCACGTATAAGCCGCACCGGTCTATAAGCCGCATGGTTCAAAGTTCAGGAAAAAAGTTGCGGCTTATAGTCCGAAAAATACGGTACAAATAATCAATTTTCACTTTTTTTTTTCTTTCCCATTTGCTGAGTCAGTTTCTCAAGCTAATCTTGGAATATCCAAGCTAAACTCCTCGTTCAAATTGATCATTCAAGTTGTTTCAATATGATGTGTTGAGCAGAGATGAGTGTTGCGCACTCTTGAAGCCACGTTGTGTAACAGATGCAGCTACCTAAAGTTAAATCCAGTGTTGGCTCACATGTTAAGTAATGAGTGTGTTATTTACCAAACAAAGATGTTCCAATCATGTTCAGACTATTTGCATGGGTTGATTTTTAAGAAGCTGAGTTTCTAACGTACATAGAAGAATAACGGTTGTTATCCCCCCCCCCCCCACACACACACACACACAATGACAGAAATGCACAAGCATGAGATTTTTATGACCTTTTTTTTATCTGAAGCTTTTGTCTTCACTTACGCAGCCCTAAACTTTGAATCCCACAAGTCCTCCTCTCCTCTGCAGTCTTTTTATAAAAAGCACTTCTGGCTGAGATGAGACATCTGCCACTGTTGCCTGAAATGCCTTTTTTTGTCGTCTTCTGCTCTCTCTATCCATGTTTTATGTCAAGCCACCATTTGTGTTTACACAAGAATGCGTCACTATCAGGGACAGCTTGTAACTTGGCTACAAGTCTTTTTAAGTTATTTTCAGTACATACGTGAACCGTTCTCTAATAAATGCAACACTGGGGGGTGAAAACGTATGAGACTTGGTTGGTGTATTTAACGTAGTGTAACGCTTCACCTGAGTCTGTCCGTTTGTTTACTTTTGCATTCTTGCACTTCTGTTTGCTCCTGTCTCGGTTTCAATGGGAGCTGCTGAATTGTGTTTCCGTCGATCTCGGGGTCATGTTTGCTTTTCATTTTTTGCTTAAACACAGTCGCATCCTGAAGCAAACCGCAAGCATAATGGAGCATGTTGACCAACATTGTATGTGTGTGCACATGTTAGTGTTACAACCTGCTCATGCCATTGAGTTAGGAAAGCAAGCGGGGGGGTAGGAAAAGCTCCAAATAAGGTCAAACTATTCCAGTCGTCCTCCTGCTCTGCCTGCTTTAGAGAATCTCTGCTGCCTTCGCTTTTATTTTCACTCATTTGAGTTCTTCGAGCTGCTTCCTTCTGTCTTCGGAGTGTTTTATTTTTTTCATTTCCGTCACTCCACTTCTCCAAACTCTGTTTAAGTTGGAAGCTGTGAACGTCTCGGCTCTTGTTTCTCCCTCTGCCATCAGTCGTCTGCCTGGGTTTTCTGCTGTATCACATTGGCAGATAGAAATAGAACGGGGAGGAAGTATTACCAGCAGGGGGGTATGTTTGTTTGTGTTCAGTGTAGATGTGTGCAAACACATCGTCTTTGCACACTCTTGAGTTCCTTCCTCTTTTGTTAAACGCTGGTTAAGTTGCACAACATCATCTCCACATAACTGAAAGTACTGTGGTTTCTTAGATACAGAGGAAGTATAGGCAAAAGCAGATGCAGGTTTCACCCCGTATAACCCCTCCAGACTCTGTCTAAAATGGGTTATTGAAGCTTCTGTGTTTGTTCTGGGTTTGTTACACAACATTTATCTTTGCTGAGGCTACTGAATGACGAGCGGAAAATGATCAATATCAGTTTTGGGCTTTAAATCCAGAAGCTTCTGAAATGATGTGCAGGATTTTTATCTGAAGATGTTCACGTCTGAATATTATGCAGCCAATGTAACAAATAATGCCATAAGCACTGTGCTGTTGRATATTATTGGACAATAGATACATTTATTGGATTTTTTTTTTTAAAAAAAAGGTATTTGTCTAAACACACAGCCCTGTGGAACTCCATGACTTGTTTTACTTTGAGTCTTCTAAACATAAGTTGTTTATAAAGATAATGTGGGATGAATAATTTTTATGGAGTAATTTGGGATTTCCTATTAGACATTTTTTTTTTGTTTTTAAATGTATTTTTCACACTTTATGAACGATGCACCTCAGCTCAAGGAGTGAGATTGTGGAATGATTTGGAAAACTATATTAAAAATGCCACAACAATATGTATGTTTAAGAGAATGATAAAGACTGGGCTGTTAAAAAATATGAAATGGTTTAATATGCAGACGTTCACTTGGTTTGTTCTAGAAAGTTTCAATGGGCCTCATGCAAGAACTGTTCGTACGCACAGATTTGTTCTTAAGTTGTGCGTACGAGTGATTTAGGAGAATTTGTGGCATCCACCAATGTTTTCGTATTCTAAGATTTTTTTCAGATACGAACAAAATTCACGAGTGGTCCAGACCTGTTGTATATTTTACGAGCAGTCAGTCCGCTGT